TCACGGAGATAGATTTGGGACCTCATTTACAAATAGCTTGAGGAGAACGTGCGAGGCCTAGTCAAAAGGAGGTTGTTGCAGATCCCACAACTTGCGGAGGTAATCTTGGAGGCTTCGCCGGGAGAAGCTGAACGGGACCTAGAACTATTTAAAGAAGGAGAAGAGATCGAAAAAAAGGGATCTGGAAGTTATTCGACACCTAAAGACCTAGATTCATTTTCATTGTTACCATCTTTTTTAATCATTTGTTCTTTCGATTAGATCATCAGATCGTCTTTGTAAACCCTTCTCATTATCAAAATCAATACAATCATAATTCATTCTCTAAGTTCTTAAAGGATTCAGCCCACGATTGTCTTCTCCCTAAACTTAACCTAACCTAATTTAAGAAGTGAGTTTTATCCCTCACAAAGTTCATATAGAGGAGCCAAGTATGAGGCAAGATAGATACGGTGTGAAGTACTCTGTTAAACTTAAGTATTGAGCGGTGAAAATGAAGAATGATGAGATGAAACAAAGTAAGAAACTGTTAGAAGACATTGCAGGGATTGCTATGAATTGTCTTACAGTTTGTGCATTTCAGGAAGGGTAAGACATTCTCCACAAGCAAACTCATCTTAAGCTCAAGTCATGAAACTGTAAAAATCTTCATGAAGGTCTAAATGCAAGGAAAAACCGATTGTATTTAAAGAAAGGTACATATGGAGTTCATGATATATGTTCGCATCATATGGGAATATTGAGGAAATCTCCTCAAGGAAGACCATTAGGTAATGGCCTAATACTCATTGGTGGCTAGATACTCATCAGGCTAATGACGAGTTCAGTGACTAACATGCGTGTTCAAGTCGTTGATGGTGATGCACATGTTTCAGTTTTTTGGAGACATCTTAGTACAAGAAGGGTATTAAGAGAATGGATTCACAACTTAGTAAAGGAGGGATATCAAGGATTCTAGATAGGGGTGAAGCCACTTAAGGCACTATGGGGGCATGTGCACCCCTAAAATTTATTTATGTAGTATTTTAATGTAAGAAGACATAACAATTATGTTAGAACAGGTGGAAAAGCTGTATTGTGCACCCATAACAGCCCAAGTTCAAGCGTCCCTTTCGACTATTTCCATTTTATCACTAATAGTGCACCTATTGAATATATGTCCTTGCTTTGCCCTTAATTCTAGATAAGATATCACATGAAGCTTGTGAAGGAGAGCCAAGGTATCATAGATTAGATGGTATGAGGCTCAATTCATTCAACTAGCATTGGGATCTAAATCTGTTAGTGGAGGTTCTGTTGTTGCAGAAGAATTTCATCAGATGGTGGAGTAAAGATATTTCAGTCGAAAGTCTTCATAATCTTGTGGTTTTAGGCAGCAGTACAAAGTGATGTTGAAGTGTAATCTGTTCAAGAACATCAAGGGTAAGTCAAAGATTGTTTCTGAGATATGGAGCATGAGTGACCTCAAGTTTCCTGTTGATTCAAGGAGAATTATGTGGTAGCAATTACTGTTAACAACATGAAGGGTGAACCAAGGTTGTGTCAAAATTCAGTCCAGCAGTGATGGTTGGATGGCGTGTCCTGTTCAGAGTAACAACGGTACAAAAAGATGTTCAAGTCTGACATGTTGAAGCCAGAGAAATAGTCAATTCAAGGATTGTTCAGGTGTGGGCATGTATGGTTTTGAGGTGGCTACACAAAACTCAGGTAATTAATTCAAGACTCAGTGCACATGAGTGAAATCGAAAGGCCCAGGAGGAAATCAACTTGCAGAAGGATGTTCAGATTTCTGTTCAAGCACTTGAACATGTTCATGATTTTTACAGCAAAGTTGTGCTGCTGATAAGTTTACGAGGAGAAACAAGATATGAAGAAACATGACGTCAATGAGAGGTTGAGCTTGACACTTGGAGTGTATCAGCTGGATTCGCAACTCAAGACACTAGATGAAGGTGATGGAAATTCAAAATGGCAATGGGATTGTCACATACCTTTCATCAAGCGTGATGTATATTTTCATTGATGGGACTAAGCGGATTTATGTGTATAATCTACTCAAGCAGTTGTGGTGTATAAGTGTAAGCTTATGCAAGTTTCATGAAGATCATGAATGGCTTCAAGCTTTGCTCAAAGTAGAGATGAGATAAGGAGAAGAGATAAGAGAAGACAAGGATATGCAGAATTTGAGCATGCTTGCTCAAGCATCAGGAAGCATCGGCACAAAGAAAGGGTTATGAACTTGGACCAAACATATGGAGTTTTGTGAGGTTTGGTCAAGTCCATCAGACGTGTTCAACTTGGACCAACTTGCACAAGTTACACGCGGAGAACCTATTGTCTTAATCAATGAAACCCATTAGGTTAAGTGTTGACATACAAGAAAGGAGAGGTCACGACAGTTTCCTCTAAGCCAAGCCTCAGGAGGTTGAAGTCTCAAGCCTTAGAAGAGTGCTTCCATGGCGTCTCTTAGAGAGATAGAGTAAGCTAAAGATCAATATGTATTGTAGGCATATCTTAGGCATAGCTCCACTCTGGTATACTCTCTAGTGTTTGTATACCCAGGACAGAGAGAGTAATGATCTTTAAACCACATCAGAGGTGTTTACCGATACTTCAGAGTGGATGTTGTGGATTCTGGATTCACCCCAGTCGTAGCGGTGCGGACGTGAACTGGATTGAAAAATTCTTGAGTTATGAACAAGAATGTGAATCGTATGAATATTGAAAGGGACATGGTATTATGAGCTTGAACTCCGTAACAAATGGATATCATAATCCCAACACTACTGATGCTTATCTTTTCTTTTCTTTTTTTGTTATTCTTGCTTCGACTTCAGAGTATTTCCCAAGTTTGGTGAGATTATCTATTTTAGTCTTTTTATTTCAAGCAAGTAATACAAGTCAATTTTAAAAAATATAGATTTAAATTAAATTTACTAAATAAAACATTTACTATAAGTTTGACCTGAAACTCATCCTTACTAACGAAATTTTTTTTTGAGAACCACTCGTCTTCATGAATAGAGAAATTAATCCTTTTGGAACAACTGATCAAATGTAAACTCTTAAACAAGTTGAGAGTAGGATGTAATGACTACACCAGAAGACATTCATCCACACAAAAGCTTGAACGACTGCAAAATTGGCACGGCCGACGGTAATAGTATAGTCAATGGACGCCGGTCGCCTGTGGTTGAAAGGCTCGATCGTTAGTTTTATTGAAAACTTATGTATATATACAATATTCGAGCGACATAATCAAAATAAATGAATACAGTGCTGGTCAAATATTTTTGGATGCCCTAAGAAAAACTTTAATATATATTTTTATGTTTTTATCTAGCATTATATATGTATTTAGTATATAAATTACATTAAAATTTTATAAAATGTTTCAAATTTTTTTAAAGTAAAATTTATTCACTCAATAGATGTTTACAATCAACTCTATTTGTTTGAAAACTAAAAAACATAAACTGACTAAAAATATAAAGATAAGTCATTTATAACTAAATCATATAACCATGACTTTTTCACACTTTTAAATTTATTGATGAGAAGTGAAATTAATTTCATAAAATTAACTATATAATATTACTTTTAAATATTATCATAAACATTAGATTACATTCATCATAATTTTACTAAAATTATTTGTTAATGCGGAATCTCTTATCTAAAATGAAATTATTTTTTATATACACTTATTTAAGAAATTGATTAATATATTTCTATAATAATGCTAAATTTTCTTACAAATATTATTATTAAATTTAAATTATGTTTGAATATAAATACTAACAAAAATTCTAAATATAAAAAGTTTACAAAAATATATTCTTTTAAAATTGGATGCGCTAAACGACCATTTGAGTCGTTTGCCTTCTGGACCGGCAAACATAACAAAACAAACAGAAAAAGCATCTGAAATTAAACATATATATGAACAATGTTAGGTGGTGTGATCAATAAAGTTGAATACGATATAAAGGAACCCTGGCTAAATTATAATTTCACCAATTTAAATGCGTAAAGGTTTGGTGTAGACTTTGAATGATATTCACTCTCTTTATGGAAACCTATTAATTGACTGATCACCAAACTCGTTTTTGTTTTTTTCATCACATACGTCACTTATTTCTTTTCATCAAACCAGTTGAAAACACGTATCTTATTTCGCAGACGGAGACTACGTTTATTCCCTCTTTTGTGAGCCCCATCCTACTTTTTCCCCTAAAACCCATGCTTAGAGACAGTGTTGAGGCTGCTCTTATATTCCAATATATTGGTTATAGCAAAAATATATATATATATATTGGTTCATGTAGAGCTTTCAATTCACTAAATTTGCTTGCTTAGGCCGAACACACTTTCTAAGTTTGGAGACCATTTGAAGCAAATCCATTCAATCGGTTATAAAGTAGGTTCACCGGGTACGTACGTCGCGATCTCTAACTATTTTGCAAATCCGACTTTGGGGATTGGTAGACGGGAAATCACATCAACACCAGCCTTTGATATATACGATGATTCCAAGAATAAAATTTTAGGAACTCCTTACAATTATGATAGTGTCTGCTTATAAATGGATATGGTCGTATTAATATATATATATATATATATATATATTAAAGTCAAATTTGGAAAGTTGATTTGTATGTACACATAAATTGAGCATGTAATCTATCAATATATCATTTGCGGCATGCATGCATACACATAAATTGAGCATGTAATCTATCAATATATGTATTTCGACATTTCGTATTTCAATCTCGTCCATTGATCTACAATCATATCATTTATAATTAAAAGACAAAAAAAACATTTCCATAATACTAGAATTATAATAAATACTTGCGGACCTGATAATCAAAAGAAAAGCAGAACGAAAGTAGAAATTGCTAGTAACTAGAAGAGTTCAAACAAAATATAAATATATATACTTTTTGTTCGTACAAAGATAGACGTACGTGATAAATGAAGATTTATGATAGGGTCTAACAATTAAAGTCCCGAAACCAATCTTCTTGACAAGAAGTGAAAGGTCTATTGAGATCAAGATTACCGTGACAAGAAGTATCAGCAGGGACATAATCTACCAACACCTCGTTAGATGAAATAAGAGACGTTCTGTTTCCACAACCCAAACCTTCAAAGTCGATCAAATCAGGGAAGACAAACTCAGACTGGAATTTATCGAAATCGATTTCAAGATCTCCCAACAACAAAGGAGAACCAGCTTGATGATCCATCACGTTTTCCTTCACAGTTAAAAGACTGGTACTGCCAACACTGCTATGCTTCTGAAATGTCAGAACCTTTGGACACCTAACTGCCTTTGGACGTATAACACATGGATTATTCATGTTGTCGTTGTTGGAATGTTTTCGAGTCTTCTGTTGGATGGTTTGAGATTTTGGAAGTCTTTTGCGGAGGTTTGAGTTCCAGTGGTTCTTTATTTCATTGTCTGTTCGCCCTGGAAGCCTCCCAGCTATCAACGACCATCTGCTATACGCCGCTAACCTTTTTAAAAAAAAAAAAGGAAGAGGATGATATGTATTTTGGTGAAACCAAACGTTAGTAACCTGTTTCCAAGGAGATTATGGAGGCGGATTATGATTTCTTCTTCATCAGATGAGATGTTTCCGCGCTTTATGCCTGGTCTCAAGTAGTTCTTCCACCGAAGTCTGCAGCTTTTGCCACACCTTTTGAGACCTTTATGTTTGAGGAAACAATGATTGTAAAGATCTTGATATAATCTTAGAATCATTTTAAAAACGAATAAATATGCATGGATATGTACCCGATTGGTTTGGGATTGTGCTCCATTTTCCTTCGCCATGTATCATGATATAGTCTTTAAGGATCTTGTCTTCTTGATCAGTCCAAGCTCCTCTGTTTAACTCATATTTCTTCACACTACTACTTGCTCTCTTTCTCATACTCTCTCTTGTGGTTGTGTGGTTGGTGGAATTGTCTTTAGTGTTGTGCTGAGAATAAATTATGTTTCTGTGTTAAACCAAGCATCTTTATAGGGAGTTGTTGCAATGTCCGTACATCAGTCGCTTTCCGAAACCTCTGTCACACACATACACTTTTTTTTTAACAGTCACACACATACACACTTTGAAGTTTCAATGCTTTTCCCACTTCACACCATGATTTACTAGAGTCTATTATGTTGGAACCAATTTTTTATAAGCTTAATGGAGTAAAAAATTAAGTAAGTGTGATGGACCGTGTAAAAATATGTTTATTATGAAGTAATGTGGGTATTTGATTATATAGAAAAATAATAAATATTTCAAAATTATTCTCAAATAATTATGGAAGGTTTCCAAAATTATTTAAGAGAAATGTAAAAGTTGAGTTTTAGATAGTTGTAGAATGTTTCCTATATGTGTTTGGATAAATGTAAAGTTGCGTCCAACTAATAATGAAATATTTCTCAATTAATTATGTGATATTTCTATAATAATTATGGAATACATCTATTCATGAATATTTATTTACTTTTTTCACAAGATTATTTTTTGTGATCAAGTAACTCATACCCATATAAATAGATAGCTAGTCTCTTCATTCTAAATACACAGGGACACACAGACAAAGCAACACTAAAACTTCCAGTAAAATCTATCTCCTAGTCTTCTAGTTTTAAAGTAAGTGTCTCGAGAGTATTTGTAGTAGTTATAGTTCGTTAGATTTTGTTTTCGGGCGTTGCGAAACAGTTTCATCATGACTGTATCATGTGATTCAAAAATCGCTCAATCCGTCATACAATACGGGCTATTTATTAAATTAAAGTAATGGATCAAATCTCGACTCCGTGAATTCGTCTATTTTTTTTAACATTTTCTATCTTCATCTTATTGTTTATATTGATTTATGTTTTCGTACTACATATTATCATTGTTGTATCACAAATTAGACATGGATGTGAATGCTTAGTGAAAATAGTCATTACACAGAGAAAAAGATCAGATTATTTCTAATTTATTGAAAAAGTACGAGATTAACTGCAGACAAAATTCAATTATTAAAATAAGTTTAGAAGAGTTATAGCCCAACAAAAAAAAAACTATTTAGATGAAATTACATCTTTTTCATTGAGAAATCCTAGCCGTCAAGAGAAAAATAAAATGGAGATTTTATAGTTTTAAGTCGATGGCCGCATGCTTTTATAGCTCCGACATCGGCTTATTTAGTTCTTTTTTCTGTTTCTTTAATCTGTTATTTTTATGGTCTTCTAGTTTGTTTGATTTCCAATTTATTTTGAATGTGGCAAAGTTTTGGATTGTTCTTTTGTATGATTTTTCCAATAGATTTGCAATGAAAAAAACTTTGGTTCAGTTGAATCGCTTAGAAAAAGTAATGGACAGATCTACTGCGGATGATGCCAATGGGTCTTACCAGCTTCAATCGTTAATGGTTCTTCACTTGATGGTGATGGATTTCTTTCTACAAACTATGGTTACTTCGAAAGACAACATGAAAATTCTATGGAACGGTAATCTCTTTGGCTCTGTTATTATCAATAGAGCAATATAAAGAGTTGTCTTCTCTCGTTGGATCCTACTGCAATCATAAAAAGAGAGTAGCAATCGTTCTCAATTAAGTCTGAAGCATGGTGTTTATGGATTATTACGAAGATTATCTCCCTTGAGATTCAACTATTAATTCCAGAAGCAAATATTAAGTTTTCACATGAAAATCTTTAGTTATTCATACACTAAATCTTAAACCCCAAATTTTAAACCATAAACTCTAAACTCTAAATCCTAATCACTAAACCATAAATCCTTGGCTAAACCGTGAACCCTTGAATAAATGATAAATTTTAGGGTTCATGGTTTACTCAAAATTTTAAGGTTTAGTGATTAGGATTTAGGTTTTAGTGTTATTAAAATTTAGTTTTAATACTTATATTTTAGAGTTTAGGATTTACACCAAGGTTTAGGGTTTAAAATTTAAGATTTAGGGTTTAGTATTGTGTTGACAACATTATCAATATTAATTTTTTTTTGAAATTATTACTATTTTAGGTGTTTTATATTTTTATTTAAAAGATATAATATAAATTAACTTCTCTATTATTTTGTTTTCTTTTTAAAAATATATCAAATATCAAATAAATAAGTATTATTAGTTGGTGAACCTAGAGGAATAAGTCGTTGTTAAATACAGGTCAAGTGGAGATACATGTTGGAACTTAGTGGCCAAAAAGAAAATTTATTTTGTCAAGTGGAGGTTTAGGTTAAAGCTCAGAGTCACATGACAAAACTTCTAGGATGTCTTTGATTATCACGTAAGTCTCTCGCTCAGGGTTTGGAAGTCTTTGAGAAGTCGTCGTGGACTACCTGATACATCAAACATTTTATACTAAGTAAGTAGATAGTCACCCATCTCATAGGAAATTAAAAACTTCCCTCAAAATAACATGAATGAACCAACTCCAAAATAAGATCTAGACTGTTTAGATCACTAGTTTCAGCTTATGTCTTCCACATTAATGGATCTCACTGAAGCTAATCGTCTAGGTAGAAAACAGTTTGAAGAAATAGGGAATGTAAAGAAAAGGTTAGTGCAAGGAAAGTGTATGGTTAATGCAGGATTAAGGTTTACGATGGAAATGGGGCACTACAAGAAAATAGGGCATATTCCGAGAAACATTCCGACGGTCATCGAGTTTCTCGGAAAACACACATTCCGTCGGGATTTACCGAGGACATTCCGAGGATTTATTATAGCCGTTGGAAAAGTTCGAAAATTCCGAGGATTTTACATTTCCCTCGGAATTTCATCGGAATATTCCGACGAAATTCCGAGGGATGTTTATGACCGTTGTATATTCCGACGAAATTCCGACGGATATTTCTAACCGTTGTATATTCCGACGAAATTCCGACGGAATACTAAATTTCCGTCGAAATTTCGTCGGAATCGTCGGCAGCATTTCATCTATAAATGCAAGCACCCCTCCTCTCCTTTCATTCACTCAATATTCTCATCCTCTCACTTATACACACGAATCTGGTTTACAAAAACATGTCTTCTTCAAATTATTATCATTCGTGGATGGATCGACCTCATTTGGATCCCGACACGAAATTACTTACGGAAGAATACCTTAAAGGCATTAGGGAATTCATGGCGGTAGTTCAACGACAACCGGAAGCAAAAACGGGTATGTTAAGATGTCCTTGCTCTACTTGTAAAAATAGAAAGGTTATAAAAGAGTGGGATGTTTGGACTCATCTATATTTGAACGGGTTTACACGAAGTTACAAAATTTGGTATCATCACGGGGAAACTGATTATGAATATGGTAGTACTAGCGAACCCCAGACATCGGATAGGTTAGAAGAACCAATTAGAACGGATGTAGATTTTGGTGTAGGTACTGAGCAGATGGTAAATGATCATTTTAGAGGGGAGGAATTACCCAATGTAGAAGCTAGGAGATTTTTTGATATGTTGGATGCAGGAAAACAACCTTTGTACCAAGGTTGCAGAGATGGTCATTCACCTTTATCATCTGCAACAAGATTGATGGGCATTAAAACCGATTATAATTTGGCTGAAGAATGTGTGGATGCGATTGCTGATTTTGTAGAGGGTATTCTACCAGAGGATAATCTAGCCCCGGGTTCATACTACGAGGTTCAGAAAATCGTTGCTAGTCTTGGTTTATCGTATCAAGTAATAGATGTATGCATCGATAACTGCATGATATATTGGAGGGCGGATGAGAACCGGGTTACATGCAAATTTTGTGGGAAGGCTCGGTATAGAGATACGAGTGGAAGACATCCAGTGCCATATAAAAGGATGTGGTATTTGCCTCCGACGGAAAGGTTGAAGAGGTTGTATCAATCTGAACGCACAGCCCAACCAATGAGATGGCATGCGGAGCATTCGACAGATGGTGAGATTAGACATCCTTCAGATGCAAAAGCATGGAAGCATTTTCAATCAACATATCCAGAATTTGCGTCTGAGAGAAGAAATGTCTATCTTGGATTATGTACGGATGGAAACCATTTGGCAAGCATGGGAGACAATATTCTCTATGGCCAGTCATTCTTACACCATACAACTTACCGCCAAACTTGTGCTTGCGTCGAGAGTTTTTATTTCTCTTCATTCTCGTTCCTGGGCCAGAGCATCCTAGGAGATCACTTGATATGTTTCTTCAGCCACTAATATATGAGTTGCAACAACTATGAGCTCAAGGTGCTGAAACATACGATGTTTCGTGTAAGGAAAACTTTCAAATGCGGGCAGTACTTATGTGGACTATAAGTGATTTTCCAGCATATGGTATGTTATCTGGATGGACAACGCATGGAAGGCTATCATGTCCACATTGTCAAGATAACACAGATGCTTTCCAACTAAAACACGGAAGGAACACGTGTTGGTTTGACTGTCACAGGAGATTCCTACCACTTGATCATCCATATCGTAGGAGTAGGACTTTGTTTACGAAGAACAAGAGGGTGTTTGACAGTCCACCCCCGGAAATTTGTGGGGCAGATTTGTTGACACATCTAAGAGATTTTGGTGCTGAAAGGACGCCGGACGTTGGTGGACATGTTCATTATCCAGTAGATGCTGTTGGAGAACTACATAATTGGCACAAAAAGAGTATCTTCTGGGATCTGCCATATTGGAAGGATCATCTGCTGCGGCATAATTTAGATGTCATGCATATTGAGAAGAACTATTTTGACAATCTTATGAACACGANACTACATAATTGGCACAAAAAGAGTATCTTCTGGGATCTGCCATATTGGAAGGATCATCTGCTGCGGCATAATTTAGATGTCATGCATATTGAGAAGAACTATTTTGACAATCTTATGAACACGATCCTTAACGTCCAAGGTAAAACGAAAGATAATTTGAAGTCAAGACTAGATTTAGTCGATATATG